ATACTACCATCTGTGAGATGCATAATCTGAAGATCAATGCAAAAAGTTATTTTTCTTAGCATTTTCATCTCAAATTCACGTATAAGTAGGTTAGTAGCTGCAACACATGTAGATGTAGTGCCCACTAGGTTAAGATCATCAACATATACACCCATGATCACAAAACCAGTTTTATCTCATTTGATAAATAAATAAGAAATTAGTAGATCACTTACAAACTTATGTGTAATTAAATAATTTTGAAGACGTTGATACCACATGTATCCAGATTGTTTTAAACCATATAAGGCCTTACATAATTTAATACCATGATATTGTTCTAGAGTAAGTGCATTTTGAGCGTCATTAATAGGAACTCTTGTAATTTTATGTACATCATTGAAACCATCAAGTGTTTCATCTGTAATCTATTTTAGATGCAAAATCTTAGCAACTTTAGTTCCAACCAAAGATGTCTTAGGATCGGGATTCATTGTAAATATTTCCGGTGCTTGGAATACAAGTACTTTATTTCTTTGTTGATTTGATACTCCTCCTTGAAGAAATGATAATACATTCTCTTCAAAACAGCAATTTTGCAAACGTATACATAATAATGTGCTAGTTGATGGATCAACAATACAAATAATGCTTGATGAATCAAAACCAACATATATGCCTTCTTCTCGATGAGCTCCAATGGTATGCCATTGAGGTTCTAGTATTAGAATTCAAGCACAGCAACCAAATACTCGTAAGTGAGATACATTTGGAACATGACTCGAAATGAGTTCATTTTGTGAAACAACTTCAAGAGAAGAAGGGCAGAGGCATATTAATGCTGTAGCATGTAAAATTGCATGACTCCACATAGATGGAGGTAAATTTGCATGAAGGAAGAGTGGCCGAGTTATGAGCTGTATACGCTTTGTAAATGACTCTGTAAGTCCATTTTGAGCATGTTCATATGGAATACAATATGTCAACTCAATTCCTATTATAGTATAATAGTCTTCAAAAGACTTTGATGCGAATTCTTTTGTATGATCCGTACGCAATGTTTTTATAGGATAATCAGGAAAATGTATCCCAAAACAAATATGTATAGATATTAAATTAGAAAATACCATGTTTTGAATTGATAATAATGAAACATGTGATTGTTTACCTAATGCATCAACAAGGACCAAAAAATAACAAAATGATTTTGATATTGGATTAATAGGACCACAAATATTACCATGCAATCTTTCAAGCATTGGTGGTAATTCTTGTAGGATTTTCCAAATTGAAGGCCGAGTAATCATCTTACCTTGTACGCATACATGACATAATTTCATAGAGTCTACATCCACAGGCTTTAAATTGTGCCCAGTTATACATGAAATGATCTTTCTAACTAATGTAGATCCTTGATGTCCCAATCGTCTATGCCAGAGAGAAGTACGACTCTCTATGATAGATGATGCAAAATTAAATATAATGGATGGCCGAATTGCAATTTAGTATAAACCATTTTTTGTAGCAAAAGCATTTCCAATAACTTTATGGTTCTTCGTAAGAACCAAAACCTCTTTTCTATTTAAAATGGTCGTCGAGAGGTGATAACCATTGATATGCACATCTCAGTAGTTGATCAGACTCTGAGATGCTGAGGGTGTAAACATTGCATGTTTATATTTTATGATGGAACTTGCAAGTAATTTAACCATCGTTGTACCCTCTTGGAAACAAAACACATCTGCTCTAGCCATGGTCATCATATTTTTAGTTTGCCAAATTGAAGATTTTTCAATAAAACATTGTCTATCCCACAGGATAGTATGTGTTATTGTAGAATCAATGAGTGCATCATTTGATTCATCATTAGAAGTTTTGTCATTCATATAAGCCTCTAACTCATCAATACTAATTGAATCCATGGATGCATCCATGGTATGAACTTCACAAGCCTCAGCTCGTAGTTTCTTATTTTTTTGGAACAATTTAATAAAATATTTTGAAGTACAACATACATGTATTAAATGTCCAATCATTCCATACTTATGGCAAGAACACATCTCTGATTTTTGTTTTCTACCATAATTAATAGTAGAATATGTATTCTTTCTATATGGGTAGAAATGGTCATGATTATGACTATTTTGATATTTATGAGCATGTTTTCCATGTTTATATAATTTTTTCTTAGACTTTGAAATATTAAGTGCATGAGATTCTGGAACTGTGGTTCTAATGGGCCGAGCTTCCACATTACGCAAGAGTAGTTCATTTTGCTTCTTTACAGGAAGTAGATAGGACATGAGATCAGAATGACTTTGAAATTTCATGTTTCTATATTATTGTACAAGCACAACAAATACAAGAGGAAATATAGAGAGAGTTTTCTCAATCATTTCTTCTTCAAAGATGCTTTGTCTACATAATTGTAATTGTGAAACAATACTATACATTTCACTATTGAAAGCATTTAAATTTGAAAAATCCAAGATATGTAAATGTGTCCAATTATGACATGCGCGTGGAAGGAAAATGGTCTTTTGATGATCAAACCTGGATTTAAGATTCTCCCAAAGTTTTGTAGGATCTTCCATTTCCAAATATTGATGTTATAATGAACGTACAAGATGACAAAAAAGGAGAAGAAGTGCTTTCCAATAAATAGCAAAAGGAATAAAAATACTTATTATAGGAGATTCTTCAAACATAATGGCATCCAAGAGTTGTTTTGCAAATAAATATGATTTTGCCATTTTTGCCCATAATAGATAATTGTTTCCATCTACAGTCAATGGTAGAAATAAAAGAGCTTAAAAATATTGGGATGCACTGGTATTAGTTGGAACCATAGTAGAAGCAGTTGAAGATGTTGAAGCAATAATTATAAATAAACTTGTAAAGAAAATACAAGATCAAGTAGAAAAGTTAAGTAAAATGTACCTTAAAATATAAAGTCAAATAAAATGATAAACTTGAATTTGAAATTAAAAATCAAAAATATTATTTATTTATTTATTTATTAACAAGGTTGTGGATTGTGGCAGCAAAGCAATAGTAGGACGGCGGCAATAGTCAACGGCAATGACAAGGCAACAATGGTAGGGCAACAGAGCGACGATGGCAAGGCGGTGGCAAAGAGCAGCAATGGCAATACAGCAGCAATCGGATTGGTGGCAGTTGGCAGTCAGCGGGGTCGGCGGCCATTTGGTGGCAGGCATGGGGCGCAGCAAGGAGGTTGGATTGAAACAAGTATTTTAAGCAAGTAGAGCAAAGAATGGAGCAAGTGCTCTAAGCAAGCAGCTAATGTGTGAGGGGCCAGCAAGAAGTGCAGCAAGATCATGAGTTTGACAGGGAGTAGGAGTAGCAACAAGTTTGAAGAGTCAAGATTAGAGCAAAAAAAATTGTAATAGTGTATAGAAGAGAGTCGTATTGATAACGTGTTGAGAATGTTTAAAAAGACATAAGAGTAGTAGTAAGTAATACACACACACTTAAGAGTAATAGTAAGTAATACACACAAGAGGATTTCTAAGGAGAGAGAGCTTCACACATAAAAATCACTTGATCTGGTTGTGTCTCGTATACAAGAGGAGAAGGGAAGAGGATAAATAGTTCTTTTCTACTACATTCCAAATATTGTAGCTATAATATTTACTATAGACTACAATAAATATTATGGAGAGTGCCGGCTACATTTAATGCTCTCAACAATTTTCATGATATTTTGCATGAGTACAATGTCTACCAAAATTATATTTTACAATTTTACTAAATAATCAAAATATAATAATTATATATTGAGATTTCTTCTTATCGATGAAAAATATTACAAAATAATCAATTACATTGTAATAAAATGTTTCTATGAGTTGAATTATGTATATTACAAATAAATTATCTATAGTTGATTTTATTCGTGAAAATCTAGATAACAATAAATGTAAATGTGGACCTAGTATGAGACTATTTGCAAAATAGAGTGCAGTCTGACCAGAATTCAAAATTTGCCCAACCTTGTTGATAGGCCTACTTTTTTTGAACTTATGGCTTTGTGATATGTTGCATTTGGTGTGTTTTCCTCTTTGAAATTGCGTACCAAAAGATAATTCAAACACTTATATTTGAACTCACTGTGTCATGGTTTTGCATTTGCTTCTAAAATCTTTCAATAAATATTTAGAGCAAAGTTGTACTAACAATGATAGTACAAATTTAGTAAACAAAAAAGCATTTGTAAATAAAACAAAAAATTTGTACAAAAGTTTAAACATACATTTGATATATTTAAAACCAAGAAGTATCAAATTTTCAAAATGTGCGTATATATATATCTATATATATATATATATATAATCATGGAAAATAGAAATAATATTGAATAATATAATATTATTTTTATTAAGTCACCCCTTTATTGAGATGTGAATTGATTAATTAATTTAAATAACAAAAAATCAAAAATGATGTTAGTAAATTAAATCAATGTTGCATAAGATTGACTTAATAATTTTAAAGTTTTAGTAAATACAATATTCTTGAAAAAAAAATCCAGATTTTTTTCAAAAGGTAAACGAACTGATATATCATTATGTTTTCAACATTCTGAATGGGATACAAATAAAATGTTTCTTTACATTATTTACATTCAGACAATGCATCTTTCGGAAAAAAGATCATGTGTGACTTGAGTTGTTACAGTTTGATTAGATAACCATTATTAGTCACTATGAAAAGATTTGTGACTGTTTGTTTTGTAGTTGTTTTATACATGTACAAAATACATATATACATTTAATACATACATACATGCATACATACAAAGCATGACTGGGTTTGCTTAACTTGCAATGGGCTCGATGTTTTTTTCATGATGGAGTGAAAAGAACGGTCAAATCCATTATCCAAGGTGGACGAAAAGCGCCGAGGTGGCATGCGAAGCAGTGTGAATGGGGGCCAGGGAAGGGGGAGTTAGGGCATTGGGGGGGGGATTAGGGTTTGGGGGACCGGGCAGAAGCAAGCAAGCAAAGCCAGGGGAGCCCTGTCTCAAGTTCTCTCTTTCCGTCTCACGTCCCTGCTCTGCTCTCCGTCTTGCCAGCCGCTGCTTCTGCCTCGTCCTCTGCAGCCATGGCGGTCGGGAAGAACAAGCGGATTTCCAAGGGGAAAAAGGGCGGGAAGAAGAAAATGTACGTCTAAATTCAACATGGCGTTGTGAGGTTTTTGGTGGGTTTTTGTGGGTTGTGAGCATTTAAAACTGTCATATTGATTTTTTTTGTGCGTCTTGTGCAGTGTCGATCCTTTCTCCAAGAAGGACTGGTATGATATCAAGGCACCCAATATCTTCACGCAAAAGGCGTTGGGAAAGACTCTTGTGACAAGGACTGCCGGCACCAAGGTTATTGCCATTTTTTTTCTATTTTTTCCGTTTTTTACTTTATTTTTTATTTTATCTTTGAGGATTTTCGATGATTTTTGTTGTGTGTCTCGCATTCGTACTTGTCCTATTACCCACGATATGTATCTGTTTCAATTTGCTATTTATGAATTTATCCAGTTATCTATCTTTCAGCACCTTGCCTTCTAAAAACGGTAGTTGTTGACATGTTGTTCTTGAATGGTGGTATCAGATTGCCTCCGATGGTTTGAAGGGCCGTGTGTTTGAGGTCTCCTTGGCTGATTTGCAAAATGACGAGGACCAGGCTTTCCGCAAGATTAAGCTGAGGGCTGAGGACGTGCAGGGCAAGAATGTTCTCACCAACTTCTGGGTATATTTCGTACCCTTTCATTTAGGGTGTTTCATAGATGTCTTGACTACTCTTCGAAACCAGAAGTAGCGGGTGATTTTGCGCCGCATTCTTGATGTAGGTTGTGTGACTAGATTCAAACGGAAGCTTCAGATAGCTGCGGAGGATTTAAATGTTCTATCATGTGTCCTGACTTTATGAGGATTCCAGAAGATATCAATTGGGCTGAAAACTACCTGCTTTGAATATCTACAGGGTATGGATTTAACAACCGACAAGCTGCGGTCCCTTGTGCGCAAGTGGCAGAGTCTTATCGAGGCTCATGTAGATGTTAAGACCACGGATAACTACCAGCTTCGCATTTTCTGCATTGCATTCACGAAAAAGAGGCCGAACCAGATTAAGAAGACTTGCTACGCTCAAAGCAGCCAGATCCGTCAGGTTTGCACTCATCGCACTTCGTTTTCGTCTCAATTTCATAGTGATTTTATTTTGATACTGGAATCGTCAGTGCCGTACAAGGCGTTCATGCAACTTCGAAACTTTCAATTACTGTTGTTGATATAGAACGGCGACCAACAACCCCTTAGACTAGGAGTAAAACGTAACTATCTGTACGAGATACTTTCGTTGTTGAAGAAATGAATTCATTCATCTAGGAGTCATCTTATTGGAAATTTCAGATTTTACAGTTCACTCCTTGCTCAGTTACTGGCTTCTGATATTGTTGTATTACGATCGAATTTAGATTAGGCGCAAGATGAGGGAAATTATGACCAAGGAAGCCCAGAGTTGCGACTTAAAGGAGTTGGTTGGCAAGTTTATTCCCGAAGCCATTGGAAAGGAAATTGAAAAGGCAACTCAAGGAATCTACCCTCTGCAGAATACATTCATCAGAAAAGTGAAGATTCTGAAGGCTCCAAAGTTCGATCTGATGAAGCTCATGGAGGTGAGTGTTGGTTGAAACGTTACATGCTCTTTTGTTGCTGTCTAAGATTATCCATCAGCATACCATCACTCTGTATAAACTGCCTAATTATTGATAACATTTAGTGAAGCTCACGGCTGCCAGATAATTAAGAATTCGTTGTCTCTGGGATTCTAAGTCCAGAGTGTCCACTTTTGTTCGATCTCTTGGTTTCATAGGTTCACGGCGACTACAGCGAGGAAGTCGGTGCCAAGATCGAGAGGCCTGTCGGAGATGATGCCGAGACTGAAGCTGTCACCGAGCCAGTTCCTGGGGCTTAGGCTGGATTTACATACTCTGCTCAGTTTTACACAATGTAATGAATCGCTAATGGCCTCAATCTGTCTTTTAATTGTACGAGTGGATTAGCACCAAATCTTTTCCGTGTGGAGACGAGTCTGAATGTTTCATGTCTTTCACTGAGCTACACATTGTATTTATAGCTTCTGCGAAAGCACTTGAAAGTCCCTGCTCTTCCGTCGAAATGGCACAACCCATTGCGCTAGCTGTGTTCTGGCTAGGTATTTCTCCTTAAGCACATCCACAAAATTCTTGTTACTGTGCTGTGTGTGGTTTTCTTAGACCTGTCTCCTTCGTGCAAGATCATCGAAGTGGAATCCAAGTCAGCTGGAAGGCCTATTGGAGTGTGTAAAATTGTACTTCCTTCGCATGTTGTGGCCCACTTCGCCTCAGGGCAGTGACTCTGAGCCACAATCATCGAGTGTCAGGGCTTATGTGTAGCACGAACTTGTCGTAAGAAGGGATGGGAAATAAGTGTGAACAGGCGTCCATGAACTGTTCGGGTTGTGAAGCAGGGGTAAAAGGTTGGAATCCGGGAGCATGCTCCTTGGAACCCTTGCGCGAGACCATTCAAGGTTTTGAAGACCTGAATTCATTATTCAACTACACTTTTCTTAATTGTGTGACATGCTTGACCTCTCATAATCGACTCCAGCAGCTCTGGTGTAGGTCGAAGGGTTGATGGGTTCATGTGCATGTGATGACACTTGCCGTCCTTCTTAAGCTCAACACTTTATGGCTAGACTCTATGGAATGATGATTAGTAGCGACGTTTGATGGGGAGCATAGGTTGAAGTCAGATCTGAATATTTGTAGAAGATTGATGTTGTTGATGGTGCCGAACTTCTTAATTTACTCCTGTTGTAACTTCTTAAATTTATTGCCTTCAATCCAAAATTATGTTTTTAACCAATTGCAAAAAAACAGAAAAGCAAAGTATGTATATTATTAAAATTTTAGACTAATATGATTTCATAAAAATATAAATTTCTATACAAATACATATGTATATGTTAAATTCAAACGAATACAATAATCTCAATAAGTCTCATCCAAATGTACAATATACAATCTCTTAATTGAGATAAGTTCGTCTGGAAAATATTATTATTTTGCTTCGAAATTAGTATTTAATTTGATTTATTTATATGTACGTTTTCTTATACGATAGTTTCTAAATATTAAGAATAATGAAAATATTATGTGTGAAATTTTCTATTCTTTTTAATATTCAATTTTATAATATAGATCTCCAAGGCACAAAATTGATTGTGTACCTATATTGGTAGCAAGACCTCTTCCAATATTAATAACTTTGATATATAAAAGCTCTTAAAGAGTTTCTTTTTTTGTCAAATACATATCTAATCGGCTAAGTTTGTCATGTCTACCTACACCACTCTCATTTCCAAGTGCCATTGCTAATATCATCTATTGAGTCTAGATTTTGCATACCAATATTATCCATTGAATTTTTCATACTTTCTATAGCAGATCTATAAATAAGGCACATTAAAATATTGTGGGTAACAACTTGGTTACAACCTCCACACCTTTTGCACTTTGGATTGTTGTCCTTATCTATCTATTCAAATTCAAAGGGTTTCTATCAGTTGAACTTTCAGAGTTGTCCACAAGTGTGGATCTATGTCAAACTCACAATTTTGTCCATAATATTATAATCTAGTACAACAATTTTTTGTTTCAAATTAATATAATGGTGAAGGATCAAGTTCTTATGACTTTTTGCAATTTTGCCAAGAAGCTCTTCTAGAACTATATTAGTTGTTTTTGGTTGTCTTTATTTGATAGAGTTGGAGACATCAAAAGATCCTTTGAATTTGAATGGAGAGAAATGGAAGCTTGAGGTGATGGACTTTTACTAGCACTGACAGCTATTCAAAACTTCTTAGGTGATGGCACATTTTTATTCAAAATTTGCAAGTTCTAGTTTTCTATAGACAATAATAAGATTCCACATTAAGACCTTTATTCATGTTTTGCCTATTGCATGCCTTCTCTCAATGTAAGATTTGTTAGGACCATGAAAAAAACAAGCTGAATCTCACATCTCTTTCTTACTCATAGCAAGAATTGAAGATGTTCTAGCAAGGTAAATAAGTATTCAAAATAAGACCATGATGGACATGCTTGGAATTTACATCACTTGTTGTGGCTTATTGGGAATAGATATTGAAATTCTTTATTGAAGAGTTAAGTGATTCTTCAATTTGGCAGTAGTTAGTATTTTAGTTTAGTGATTGTTGCTTATCTTCATGTGCATATGGCTCATGGTGCAGCCATCTTTTAGATTTGTTTATTGATTTATTGTTATTACTATTTAGTTCAAGGCACTTTCTCTCTATAAAGTTAAGATAGTATTGATATAGTTTAGTGACATTTCACAACATAGTATTAGAGCTTGATTTTTTATTAGAGTGAAAGTTCTCCAAGTTGTACAACTTGTAGATAGAGCCTCTAATAGAGAATGAATTGAATCACATGTTTAATGAAATGTTGAATCCTTTAAAGAGTATAAATTGTTATAAACTTAATAGAACTTTGAGTTTTCTATAGGAAGAATACTACTAAATCTAAGATGGACCTTATCAAATACTTTGGCAAAATTGGCAAGCTTAATGAAGAGTTATGTGTCATGGGCCCACTTTATCAAAACATTATTTTAACAAGATAAATTCCAATGAAAATTAGAATTTGATTCTAAAACAACAACCACAAATAAATAAATGAAGCAATTAAAGATGTAAAAAATTGTAGAGAAGTTAAACTTACTATAAGAGCAACTAAATCAAATGATGTTGTAATTGCCTTGACTATCCAAGCTTGAATTATTGCAACTTCCAACAATAGAGTGGATCTACTATTTTAATTTTTTTTGAGATATTTATGCATTAAGATTAAATCCATTTTCAATGCCATAAGCAAGAAATATATTTTTCTACCATTTTTTGTTTTAATATAGATGTGATTGATTATTAGAACTTTTCAAAGAAACAATTAGTAGGGACATTCTTCAAAATTTTCTTTTGCTTGACATCTAGGTCAAAAATATAAAAATAAGAGAAAGTCAAAAGATAGAAAATTCCCTATATCCTATTGATAATCAAGAATCATATCTTAATAAGCTTATGATGCCATCTCTTAAGGCAAAATAATGCATATTGTACTAAAAAACTTTATTTTAAATTTTTTGTAAATTTATCTTTAAATTTGGTCAAGATATGATCAAACAACTATATCTAATGTATTATGATCTTTGTCAATTACTACTTGTTGAGGAATACTAACACAAAGTCAATACCAATATTATTTCTATAATATATTTTTTTTATTGTGCCAAGACACTTGGTTGATTGATTGGACATATCATTGATTGCAATTGTACACAAGCATTTATGTTTTGTTTATTTTTTCTTGAATAAGATTATAAGACCTTTCATGGACATAAATATAAAGTCTTATGTAATTTAGAGACTCCATTCCAATATATATATATATATATATATATATATATATATATATATATATTATATATATATATGTATTCTAATTGTGTCATTTGTAATTATTGTAGAAGGAACAATCATATATCTTTAGACTACAATTTGTAGCTCAATTCTAAGTCCATTTCATAGAAATGTCCAAAGAGGATGTTGCAAAGGATGAATTTAATAAGATGCATAATATTGACTAGCCTTAAGATACTAATACAAGCTAGATCAATCTTATTAAAATAAATTTGATTAAACACTCTAATTTTAAATAAGTTTTATTTATAGATTTTGTAACTAATATATATATTATTACAAATAAGATATATCTTTCTTACTAAATTATAATTATTACAAATGGCATTGATTTATCCATTATTAGAAAGAGATCTTTCTTAGAAGCAATAAAATTTTAAATAATTTTTTATATTTTCTTAGTATAAAAAAATATAAAAATTCATAGTAGTAGAAAAATTGACTAGCAATGAAAATTTTCTTGTTTTTAATAGCCAATTGTACTTCATTTATAATTAATATCTTCTTTAACATGTATACTTATTAGCTTCTTGAAATTATTTAAACAAGTTGTAAAAATTATGTTTTAAGATTCATAGTTCTTTACCACTATATATAATTATTACAAATACATTCATTTCTTCTTTGATTTTTACTACATCCACATACATTATTTTTTTTAAGATGGAATCTCTACATTGTAATGTTATCCTTATTTTTTTGGCAAAAGAAGCTTACTTACATTCATCATCAACAAATATACTACATATTCCAAATGCAACTTATTGGCAGTCTTTCTAAAATGACATCATTCAAACATTTATGCAAAGTTTGTATTTAAGTCAAGCATCACATAGAGAAAATTCATAAGTTTTTCTCTTCTTCTACAATTCATTTATTAAAACTTTTATATGTTGAATCCTAAGAGCCTATCTCAACTAACATTGTAGCTAAATATATATTGATTAATACTACTACTTTTCTTTTTTTTCAATAATTTTCTTCTTTAATACTAAAGATGATATTTTTTTGCCTTGAAAATTTTATAACTTTAATAGATTCTAAATTCTTATCCAATTTGTTTTAAATTTTCACTAACTAAAGAGAAAAATTTACTTCATTGTATTTTTTAAAATTTTGTAAAAACTAAGAAATTAAAAATTTTATTTAAATTTTATTTTCTTGAAAAAATCAAAGCCATTCAAAAAATAATAGCAAACATCTTTAAGCAACTTGTAGTGTATTCTTGGAATCAAAATTTTGACTACATGTTTGACAAGAAAAAATCTAAGCAGAAAATTACATCCTCAATTAATGATTCACATAATCTCTTTACCTTTGTATTTGAATGCTTCTAGACAAGAAGCTTTTTTTTGTCTTATCTCCAGATACTTGGCTACAAAACCTATGTATTACTAAAATCCAATGTCCACATCAAGTCGGATGCAAAAATGTTTAAAATTATACTCATAGGCTATGATGAACAAAGGAAAGCTTATCACTATTATAATACCTTCAAAAGACCAATTATTCTTAATCATAATGTAGTTTTTTTTAAAGGATTTGTAAATCAACTCTCCATAAAGTCTCTTTTTATTCTTGATTTCTTTTGACAATTCTTATTCAGTATAGATACCACTATTGATTTGCTTAATCTAGGTTTTGATATAAAAAATAAAATTTTTAAAAAAATTCAAAAAATTCAAGAATCAAAGAATATTTATTTAACTATTAAAGATAATGATGGTCTTTCAATCTAAAGAAAAAATATTAAAAAAAATAGAATATGACTTGCAATAATTCTACTTAAAAACCTTTTATTGGATAAACTTGTATCATTTGATCCTATTAGAAAATCATATAGAATTTAATCAATTTATATTTATCTCAAAAAATATTATCTTTACTTAATACAAGATAACAAAGTAGTTGTAATCAATATAATTGGGAGGACTTCTGATAATTTAACTTTTAAAAATGTTATTAGTGATCTCAAATGGAAGGAGTCTATAAAGAAAAATTTTGATTCTCTTATTTGAAACAAAAGTTGAGAACTTATTGTATTTTTTATAAATTACAAAGCATTATTTGCCAAATAGATTTTCAAAGAAAACTAGTTATAAGCTTTATACATAAAATGTTAAGACATAATCTTGTAGCAATAGATTTTGAACAATTATAAGGTCTTAATTGAAATAAGACGTTTGCACATATAGTCAAATGGACTACACTCTCAACTATCATTATATTAAAAGTATTATAAGGGTCAAAGTTTAATGACTTAGATGTTGTTATTGCATTATCTCATATAGATGAGGTCATCTCAAAGAATTCATCTATATGAAATAACCTCATGGATTTGAACAACCAAAAAAAAAAAAAAAAAAAATCTTATATATAAATAATCTACATCAATTTAAGGTTTGAAGCAATTATCTAGGATATGATATGAAGATATAGATTAATTTTGTAAGCAATATAGATAGACTAATAATATCAACAACCATAATATCTATTCTTTTAAAGAAGCTGACATTATTATTATTATTATTATTTTATATGTAGATTATTCTTAGTAATTAGAAATTACATAGAATTACTTATTTCTATCAAATCCAAGAACATGAAGAAGTATTTCATAAAGGACCTTAGATAGACTCAATATCACTTTGGCATTGAATTTACTAGAGTTTCAAATAGATTGTTACTTCATCAAAACAATTTTACAAAAAATATTTATCTAAAATAAGAATCAAAAATCGCAAAGATGCTAAAATTCTTCTTCCTAAATTATATGTTTTAAAAAGAGAAACTAATATTTTAAAATTTGATTTAACTCTATAATTGCTTATAATTGAAAAACTTATTTTTTTTACTTATACAAGATTTGATTTCTCATATGCTATTAAAATCATGAATTGATTTGTAAATAAATCTCAAAAAAAAAATATTAAAAATATATGAAATTTATTATTAGGTGTATAGGTAATATTTCTTATATAGGTATTTTTAATGATAAAATATAACTTTATCTATTAATTATACTTATTTTGATTTTTTTGGCTATTTAGATACATGTCATTTTATTGGACTATATATCTTTTAATTAGATTTAGGGCCTATTTTTTAATCAAGCAAAAGAAAATAAAAAAATTTAGACTCCAAAATTAATAAGTAGTACAAAGCACTTTAAGAAAAGACCAAAGAAATTATATATATTTTTTAATTTTTAGTTGAGGTTGCTATATTTTTATCCAATAAGGTCTTTATTCACTAATAGGATTTGAATATTAAAAAAATATGACTTTTTCCATCATTCCTATTAAAGTTGACTTCCAATCAAAATGAAACTATTAAGGCTCAATTACTTTGGCTTACAATACTACTTATTCTATTAGAATTAAGCTTATTAATACTCAATACTATTTTATTTGTAAAAAGACTCTTAAAAATTCTAATACAATATGTTACTTTTAAATTCCAATTAATTAATTTTTTTGTGTATTTAGTGAATAAATCTACTTTTCATTAATTTTAAGATTCCATTGGTCTCGAAATGCTATCATCTTTCAACATCTAGAATTTTATTTTTACTGTTTTTACCATTATTACTTTTGACTTAGATTTACAATTTTCGTTAGCTTTTATCTCAAACATCTGATATATTTAGTTTATTATTTAGATTTTTATAACCACTCCTAGCAACATATGTAATTTTTTATATCACTTCAAAAAATTTTGATACTTCATATAGCAACTCCTAAATAATCTATTCTTTTGTTTCAATGACTCTACTATATTTTATTTTTTTACTTTTCATCTGCATCTATTTTTGACTTTGTTGTAAGTGTGGTGTTTTTTTATTCAAGTTTTTTTTAGCTTTTAATTTTTCTACTCTAAAAGGCAATGTTGAAGTTTACCTCAATTATTGTGGCTTATTAGGATAGATATGAAGATCCTCTATTAAAGAGTCAAGTGGCTCTTTAATTTAGTTGTAGTTAATATCTTCATTTAATGATATTTTCTTGTTATAATTTTCCTATAGCTTATATTGCGCCTACCTTCTTGTTTCTCTACTAGTTTATTGTTCTTACTAATAGAGATACTTTTTTTCAATAAAGCTTAGCTAATTAGGATTAATAATTTAGTGTTATTTTAAAATAGAAGTTATTATATTAATTTTTATTTATAAAGCAAAGAATATGTATTATACCTCTTATTTCTTTTTCCTTCTAATAATAGTTGCTTTATAATCCATAATTATATTTTATATTTATATGTCGAAGATTATTATTAGATTGAAATATTTTCAATATTAAAACGTATTTTATTATTATTGATTGAAATATCTTTTTAACCTTTTAATTTTTTTATTAAGTTTACACTTTCAAATATCTATAAAAATCCTTTATATGGTTTAAAATTTAACTTAGAATTTATTGACATATTATAAATATATGCTATTATTTATTAATCTAGATAAGAGACTCATCTTTTGGTGTGTAGCAAGTATTTCAATACGTATTATCTAATCTTTAATTCATCACATTCCTTATGAATATATGATTTTTTTATGATCTTTGATGTCATTAGCACATACCTATTCCTATATATTTAATTAGCTACAGTTTTTTTATTTTAATAGAAAGAAAAATCTTTATATAAAGAATTATATAAAATATTGATTGATTCTTATATTTTAAGTTAGAGCTATAAAGTCACCAGCCAATTCAATGCCTAATGTAGATATGTGTATATATATATATATATATATATATTTTTTTTTTGATATCTAGTTGAGCAATTAGATTAAAAGCCATGTGCTTCTTAAAATGATTCTATATCAGATTTATTTTTGTAATAAAATTTAGAAGTATATGCTATATTGCTTAGAAATTTGAGAAATAGTTTGTATTCTTAATACCAAATAAAGAAACAAAAGAAGATTTCAAGGATCACTTATGTCTAACAAAAGAAACTTTGAGTATGTAAAAGTTAATATTAAAATAAATCAACCTCAATAAATTTTTTTTATAATTAATTTCTTTTAGAATAGTAATCCAAGTAAATTTTTTAATCAATTAAAATTTGTTGAAGTAGCTCTTATCTTGTTGCATACTAAATTATATATTAAATATTTACATACATTCTTTTTATATGGTACTAACATGACAACAAAAGAGTATATGGTTTAGAAAGAAAAATTTGTAGATGAAAAATTAAAAAGAATAGACTTTGTTTGCATGCATAATAAAAAGCTTGCAATATGAAAATAAATAATGAAGAATATAACTAATGAAAGAAATGATTTTTTTAAAAATTAATTCTTTAGAAAAATTAGAAAACAAATTATAATTGCAATGGAATCATTTACAATGTTTGTTACTTCTACAATCTGGTTGAGAATATTATAGCTTATGTTATAGTAAGGACAATGAATGTCAATCAAAAGCACATAACATCTATATTGTTGAAAGTTGGTGTTGTCTCCAAGTTCATTACAAGAATCTTATACTTCAAGAGTTACCTAACAATGTATTAAAACATCTATAACTAAAAATTTAAATTAATGGCAAAAACTCTTGTGGGTAGGCAACCAATCAAAGATTTGTTGGACATCTTCATTGATCTAGAGATAAAACATGACATCAAAATTGATAAAAATAGTAGACTTACATAACTCTTCTTTATACCAAAAACTATTTGGGAGATTGCCAAAGAGCATTCATTAAACTCCATCATAAGATATCTTATATCATAAGTTGCACTTACAAGATAAACAAGTAATCCTCTTGATTCTAAAAGATAGTCACATTTTGTTGTGTCTAATATGTTGGTATTCACTTCTAATCATTATTGTGTTGAACATGCATTAAATGATATTGATGCATAGAATGATATTTTCTTCCACCAACTAGTTTGTCTCGTTTTATTGATATATGAGTGGTGAGGAAGTGTACTGTAGAGATACTTTCCAAAGCTATCATTTACTAATGGGATTTCGTATAGAGAATTCAGATTATACTAATGGGATTTCGTATAGAGAATTCAGATGGAGCATATGTGACAAACATAAGTATAATGCGAGTAGTATCTAGTTTTGGGTCACTCAAACCAGCTCTTAAGTGTAGAAGAGCAGGTCTCAATGTGATAAAATATGAACAACGCTAATTTTAATTTATGGAAATTAAAGTAAAATCTTTTTACAAAAAGATAATGGGAAGAGACCTTGAAATGTTTATCGGGCTAATTCATCTATAGGTAAGGTCGGAAGTCAATTCTTTTCGAGTCGGAAAATGCTCGTACCCGAAAATGTCAACTGAGACTATAGCTCACAGATTTCCACCTATCAGTATTTTTCAAGTGTTAAACTAGTCTTCGGAACGACCTTTTGGCTGAAAAAGAACTCTTTTCACACCTTCCACTGTGCAAAAAAATGGACTTAAAATGCATCCACACGTCTCATAATCTGCACATTTCTCCTGGAAAAAGCTCTTTACCTCACTCTGATAGTTTCCTGATGAATCATTCAAAAGTTTGTAAGGATCTTTCCATATTAGATCTTCTTTAACAGCTGCTTTCCACCGTTTCAAGAATGAGATCATCTCAGTGTTTGACCGTTTCCTCGCCTGATGCACCAAACAATTGTCCACATTCAGCAGGTGAAGATCGAAGGGCATAAACCGGGCTAATACAGATGGTTTCAGAGACCGAAAGTACCCAGTTTAATATCAAAGTGCTGGATGAAAAGAAAACCGAAGCATGAACGAAGAAAGGATGCAAGGTGCACAAAGGTATTTTGCAAAATAAGCTCAAACGAGCAACTAGACATGAGCTACTCACTTCTTGACGAGAATTGATCTGCTCCTGTAGGATCCGATTGTCCAAGCAAAATTCATCCAAGCAAAACTCATCCTAGCAAAATGTCAGGAAATCGATACGCCGCATAGAATCCAAGAAACCCAGTTCACCAAGAAAAAATGTTGGAACACAAGTATATTAGATCACAGCACTGATAAATTTCTGCTTTTAAAAACGATTGTGATTACCTTGGAAATTCCGAGTTATAACCATCAGACCCACACATCTACCCAATACCGCTGCTTATATAGGTGATCAATGATGAACAATTCCTGATCCGACTCTTCATCCTCAGAAGGCATGAAGTTCATGAACACCATTGTTGACATTGACACCATTCTCACTAGCGAAGCCACTATACGAAAGGATTGCTACACTATTTTACCTCTATAGATCGTTTCTTGCGTTTCCCAAAGATATATTTTTTGTACTCTCGTCCGAATGTCTGTAACAAGAGGTGTTTGAAGCCAGTTAAAATCAAATCAGTCCAAAGACTTTTCCGTTAAAGCAATCCCTGTTCGTGGAAGCTCCTGACCAGTATCATGTGTGGAGGGAACATCGGGAGTGACAATCTCACGCATCAAGATTGTTAAATTCTGGATCGATGAATTTTGATTTTCGAGGAACTCACTTTATTTCGACCAGGACCTCCAAGGGATGGGATGCCTTTATGTATTAAGTATTCAGCATCAATAATTCCCACTTTTTCAGAGCGGATCCCCTGGTACCAAGGACACACATAAATATGTCAAATTCGCAACCTTCATGAAATCAAGTCTAAATCCACGTTGAAGCCAGATAAAGGAACTAAGTGATACTTGGTGGACGTGTCATTCAGTGTAGAAACGTGAAAAAAATTAAAAAGTACATTGGAAACAACAATTTCAGAATCTGATGAAACGCAACAAGAGAAACTGCTCAGTACACACCTGTGAGCAATAAACAATTTTGAAGTCGATGCCCCATCCGTGAACAAGATCATTCTGTCGATGCAGCCACATTCACAATTTTGAAAATTCAAGAAGCTATTACACATTCTGTCTGCAGTTACTTGCACTAGAAAACAAAACTAGATGTTTTCGCGTAAGCTAGCAGCAAAATTCGCCACAAATATTCCAAGGGGCAACAGCCGTCTCAAGTGTGATCATGGACAGACCCAAACATGGGTAATTCAGAAGGATAAATGAAAACTAAATAATCAGTTTAATCGGCACTTTCATCTTTGAATCTAAGGAACCATTAGAAAATAAGAACAGCAGCTGATTTGTAGTGACAGAAACACAAAATAAGGCATTTTCGCCAACGATATGTTATGAGTACCTGGATCATATACCAAACGCAACGCCAGGCGGCCTTGGAAAAGACGGGTGCCATCACTTCGACAAATCTGGATACAACGATCAAGATTTTATAAAATGTTCGATACTGCATACTAATCATGTGCTGGTCAAATACAATGCCACGTCAAAATGGAAAAGGGACTGCTCCGAAAAGCCCTAAAGACAATAAAGATATCAGTATGCCTGACAATGTTCATTGAGGAGCAGCCTAGGATCTCTAAGGAGACTCACGCCACTGAAATAGAGTACTCTTCATCAGGAACTTCATGTAGGAAGAGCTTACCTCGTACATGGAGGACCGTTACTTTCTGTTGTGCAAATGGTTGACCCACGATTCCTCAAAATATTTCTGTATCATATAGACAAATAAATTTATAAGTAATGACCATGGATAAAAAAATCTAAGGTTAATTACAAATGTCATATACGAACAACTTAGGAAAAAATAGCTCATACTTGTGTGCTCTGGCAGAAGCCACTCGTCGAGTGAGTGCATGGTGTATGTCCAAAGAAGAGGAATCCAGGGCGGGTTGAGAAATCTCCAGTCCCTCCGCCTTCATAATCTCTAGATATCTGGATCAAACACTTCGATGTAAATTATTGAATAGATCCAGCTCCGAACAGATAATAGATCTTTCAGGTACCAGCACTCTTTTCAAAAGCAACCAATTCAAACACAAGTCTCAGAATAAGAGAAGAAGTCCCACTTGTCAGCATGAAAGTTCTCCACTCCCAAATCTTAGTCCCAAAGAAAGACGAAGTTGTATTGTACTGTAATGTCTGGATGCATGAATCGCTTTGCAAACCACCTTAAACATTGCAAGAATGTAAGCTACGACAGGCTTCACCGATGAAATCTGGAATTTTCATAGATTGGAAGGTGGCATGGAAGAAATACCATTCTCGATAAAAGACCTGAACAGGAAGACAAGAGAACAGAAGCACGGAACACGAAGAGTATGACCGGAGGACCGTGCAAGCTCCAGAGATATGTTGACAGGAAAATGTAAGAGTTGGGATAGAGGCATGTACCATTTGGTTTGATGCAAGCCAACAATGTGTATGGATTGATTACTCCAGGAGAGATCATGCCACTGATCAACTACACCATCATAGTGGAAGAGAATGATTGTGAAGTTACTCAACGGAAACTATACCAAAGAAGTGAGCTGGGTTAGGCTTCCATAATGCTGAATTATAAAACCACGACCGAAAGTAAATAAAAGCTGAATTTAAAGAAAATAGTTACATTTTTATTCACATGATGGACAAGGAAAAACATACTTTTTGAATAATTTCGTTGACGATATTTTTTTGTTTGATGCCAACTGCCAAGGCAAGCAGATTCGTGGGCATCACTCTCTCAACCTGAAGTCATAACACGAAAGCCTCGGTTAGGATGCACTTGTTAATGCAAAGAGCAACCACATACATTCGAATTATCAAGCCTTCCCACAATCACCGCTTGTATTGAAGGAAAAAAGTCAGCATCAAGGTACATGTAACTGCACACAGACAGCTCTTAACATAATTACAGCAATCAGAGCGTAACAAAGCCAAAAGAAAGTTTTTCCACCACACAATGGCGTAAGTTGTGAGAACCGCTACCACATTCTCTTCTACCTTGCCAAGGGAACGAAAATGTAAGTCACTCGTCTCCACGACGATCCCACCTCTGCTACAGTGCGTTTTTGTAATGTGACAAGACTCATTACCCTTTGCAAGAAAACACACAAGCAATCAGCTATGAAATGTGAAGGAAATCATATTGATCTGAAGTAGGATAAGTTTGATTTGTTCAATGAGTTACAAGCTGAGTATAAAGTATCTCAACTTGGAAACCATCCCGTCCCCCCGAGTGAGAGAGCGGGTCACACTTATTTGCGCAGATGTCGATAACCTTTGCACGAATGGATTCTTAACCAGCAACAAACCACTTGAGTTCACTAAGCATCCAGGCCTAACGCATCAATAACGGTTATTGAAGCATGAATCCTTCTATGGTGGCCATCCAAAACTGTATCGAAATGTGTCACTCGTTTCAATAATAGCCATGACTTGTTTACACAAGAGACAGTCGAACTCAAATAACTTGAAGAATTGTTAGAGCATACTTTGGAGTTTCGCTCATTGACAAACTTTCCGCTGAAAAAAAGTTTGAATCCGATCAAGACTGCAACTAAGTAAAACACTGTCGGCTTATTTAAACACTTTATCAGCCTGCCGCTTATTGTATAATTCCTAAATGACGTCTGCATAACCAAATTGTCATGATCGTCAGCAGAGGCATCACAACATGCATCCAAATTATTAAAATTATAAAAATTGTACGGCAGCAACAAGCAACTTAAAAATGGTTTAGTTTCAATTCAACGACCAGACTTCCTTGGCAGGCTATATTGTGAATGAAAATAGCAGAACTGATTAAGTACTTGCACGGAAAGTATTAGATCCTGAAGTGGTCTTCGTAATATCCACATTTAGAATGCTTCAATTGAATCGTACAAAAATACGGTCACAGAGTACAGAAACAGCGCAAGTTTCAGCGATGGTGAAATCCGATACTGATGGCCTTATGCTCTGTGGACCAAGGGCAGTGGTCAAAGCCAGCAGTAGGTCACTAAACCGTATCAAAAGAAATCACAAAATATCAATGAAATAACTTTGATTACTGTACCGTTCCATGGTAGAAAGGAGAAACAAACTATCTGAATGTTTACGGTATTCACATAGTGTATTTTAATCAACAAGCTAAAATCTATCAATCAAACACCAAGTTTAGTAGAAAGATTGTATTTTTGGCCAGAGATCAGTAATGACCAAATAACATAAATAATTAACAAAAGTATAGGACAACTTGTTAAACCAAATTTGGTTCTAAGGGTCATCTTTAAAATCCAGTTGCAAGATCTAACAAATCGTGAAGTATTTCTCCACTGAAATACATACATACATACATACATACATACAACTCTGTCATTTAGGGTCACTCATGACTACCCACTTTTATTCTTTATTCGAAACATTAGTGAAATGCAAAGTGAATAACATCACTATTTTAACAGAATCAAAATATTGGAAAGGAAAGGATAAAGAGTTCAATGAGACAGTCCATAGTTTCAAAAGAGCATTGATTGAGACTGTAAACCCTGAAGATCTCAAAGTCGAAATAAAACTCAGGCTCAAGATCTTTCAATTGAATTTAGATGCTACAAAAACTCCGAAAAATACGAGATGAAATAGTCTAACTCATAATATCATCTAGAACCTTGAGTACAGGTTATAACTTCTGTCGTAAACAAAAGTGGCTATGATGAATTTGCACTAAAGAGGAGGTGAGGGCGAAAGAGAATTCGGAGGATATGCAAGAGCTTACAGAATCTGTACATGGACTGGCAACAGGCAACTGCTTGAACCATATCCAAAACCCCTTCATTGTGCGAACTTTCAGAAGTCAAACTGTCGAGGACAACCTCTTACAACCCAGACACTAACTCCAGTTGCACTCTAAACACTTTCGGACTAAGATTACTCATGACCACTTTGCATTTCCAGCGCCTGGTATTTCTCAGAGCCAAAATTTGAATCTGTCGCTCCTTGATGCAGGTCAACCAAGGACAAAGAAAGACACTTGCTAATAATGTTTCTTTGAGCTGACATAATTAGTTGTGAGGATACATTTCTTGTAAATATACTCCACAGTCCAATACTAACGAGGCCCACTCACACACTCGCCCATAACCGCTCCTTTGCCAGATGCCAAAACCTCACAACTTGAAAATTAGAGCTCCTCCTCACTCTTCAACTTCACTGTATATACAGTCTAGGCTAAAGCCTTCAATCGATAACACGATGCGTGCGCCACATCACATGCAATGGAAGATCAAGAGCCCCAATAACGAACTTGCGAGAAAAGCAAGCTCCAATTCGGCAGCTATGGCAGCTGCAATCCTCACTTCAAAACCAAGAACGTCGAGGGGCTCTACTGATATCCAGACCCTGCACTCAGGGAGGAGGAACTACAACGACGCACCAGCAGCGCAACAAGGAGATCGAAGGCGAATGAGCTGGCTGCATAACAAGTCAGATGAGCCCCAGGAATCGCGTCTGAAATTGTAGACACTCGGAACAAAAGGTTAGGGGGGGCGGGGGTTAGGGGAGAGCGGGCCGAACAGGACACCACACACCAACAGAACAGTGCAGTGCTGTAACGGGATCTTCCTGTTGCCACCCTGTTTCACCCTGAAACACAACCACCGGAAAACCTCGTTAGTACTAGTCTCATGAACTGGTGCCTCCTCCGGCAGTCAGACACAGTCTGAATTCCGCAACCCAGACTCACGACACTAACTTACTGTACTCTCGGGGTCGTCGGGGTCTCCAGAACCCTTCCGAATCACCCGGGACTCGACTTCGGGACTACACAGACTTTCCCTCGCACCGCAAGCTGCCCCCGCATCGTGTTGTCCCTTGGTGAGAGGGAGGTGGCCCGCCCAACCGCTCCTTGTGCCACCTCGCCACGGCACTCCCATGGGCTTGGGGATCGCCGAGGCTCTCAAACTTTTTAACTTACAAGTGCAAGAGTCTGATCCTTTCGACCCACACCCTCCTCCACTTTGGAGAGTCAATGTCCTCATTGACATAAAGAGTGTAAGTTTTATTCCCATTCTCAGAGAATGTTTACAAATAGATGTCTTGCACTACATCCTAAGTAGTTTGAAGGCTCTTTTTCCTACTTAGCCTCCTTTCATGCTTTTAGTCCTTCAAAAGCCTTTTGGGGTAGAGGAGGATTTATTGATTCCTTGTTGAGATGGGATGCTACCTCCTTGCGTTTTTTGTGCAATTTCCTTCGCCTTCAATTTTCTCAATTTTTCTCAATTTTTTGAATCTTAAAAGTTTACATCTTCCAATGTAAATAGTAGAAATGTTACTCCCTACTTAAACTTAGCCTAGGCCATGGAACTCCTTAACTAAGATCCGCATCACCTCAGTACCCTTCCCTATCTTATGGAAGTGACTTGCAATCACTCAATGTGAAACCCATATAGGAAAGGCCAACCATTTAGGCTTGGTTGCTTAGAGCCTTGTATTCGCCTCATACAAGCTTCTTAAGGTTTCCCTCTACAAAGTCCCTTCGGGTTGGAATCCTTTCAAAATCTTCTATCTCTTGAAAACTTCTATCACCTCTTATTCCAAGTTTTTTGTATCTCTCTTTATACTTTAACTCAAGAACACTCTTTTTCCTTATAAGTCACATAGGCTTGTGATCCTCCTCCCCTTTGGAGTGAAGATGTCCTCATCTTCTTGGTCACTCCCTTTATTACTCCCTCCTAGTTTTCAATTAACCAACTTACCCTTTAGTAGTTTTTGATTTGTTTTCTTGTAGTCTTAGGTCTTCTATAGTCACCAATTTTTTTATTGAAAGCTGTAACTAATCCCTGTACATGTCGCAAGTTCCTTTCATTTATCCATTGAAACTCATGTGGAGGGTATTCCTTGATAGTACAGAAGTATTGAATTCTCCTAACATCCATCCATTTTTTTATCAAGTATGGCTTCTACTTGATCCATGGTTTGATCCCATACCTCTTCTTGAGGTGGAATTCTTGCCTTCTCTTTGTGAAAGCCTTTTTCATCCTCCACAAATTTCTTAAGGACACTTACATGGAAAATTGGATGCCACTTCAATCTCTTTGGTATGTCTAATACATAGACATTCTTATGTAACACTCTTTCAATTTCATAAGGACCTGCCCATTTCTAGGTCCATTTGGGAGTAAGATGTATTGGACAAGTGAGGTTGCTTATATTCAACCACACTTTGTTTCCCTTTTCAAATTACACATCTCTTCTATGCCTATGTGCTTGTTTCTTATATCTTCTTTGGGCCAATTCTAGTCTAGCTTTAGCGGTTTGCAATATGGCTTTTCTTTTTGCCATCCATTGTGCTCCTTCAACTGAATAAAAATCCAAAGTTGTTTCATCACTTTGCTTGATTTCCACTAAGTCAATAGGTCGAAGTGCATTAAAACCATGAACTATTTGGAATGGTGTATTTCCTAAGGACACATTTTGAGTTGTATTATAACTGAACTCAGCTATGGGCAGCCATTTGACCCAATCCTTGTGGTCACTTGCCACATAGTGCCTTAGATACATTGAGAGAATTCCATTGAGTCTCTCAGTTTGGCCATCCCCTTGTGGATGCCAAGCAATACTTAATATTATCTTAGAACCTAATTTCTTCATAACATGC